ATATATATACTATATCTGAACGTGGAGGAAACCTTATAGAACAATGTATATACGGGCAGATGATGCCAGAGATGTTTAGTCGTAATGCACACTTCATGTTTTAAGAAATTAAACAGAGAACTTAATCACAAACGGTCAGGGTTTTAGCCCAGTTTTACAGCCTGAACACCTTCCTTTAACAGGGTTAACTCTGTTAATCAAACATGAGCAGATTTTTTTTCTTGTTACTCAATACAGTTTAGTAGAAACTGAACTGTGCTGCAGCAGTAAATATGCAACAGGCTGACTGTGAAAAAAACAAAAGTTTGAGAAATGTTTAACCACAGATTACATTCTTCTATATCATAGTGACCTGCTGCAGTTTTTGATTGTTGAGAACAGGAAGCACACAAGATGTGGCTTAGTTTAATCTTTACAGAATTTACAGCTAACCATTAACTCATATAGTTTGTTTCAAACAAGCTATAGGAGTTACTATAGTAGTTAGGAACTGCAAAATAGCAACACATATTTACAGTTGTGTAAAGGGACACCAAAATATTAACATAAACAAAATCAGACAGAGAATCACTTATTTTGGTTTTGGTTTCACTTTTTTCTGCTGTTTCTCTTAACGGTTTTCCATTTCTGTCAAATGGGAAAGTATGAAGAGACCGAGCCAGGATGTAAGTCTAGGGGTTTTGCAGAGAGAAAATTAAACAGCAGAATTATTGTATAATTATTGTAAATCTAACCATGAAAGATGTTCCTGATCCAGACAAAGAAATTGCTTAATTATTTTTTTTTTTATTTTATTTCATTTCTTTTTTATAAGGAGGAATTTCTTTTACTAAATAATAATCCCCATGTGCATATTTTAATGCTTCTCTTCTGGGATTTTCTTTCTCAACTACTTTTATTTAAGTGCAGTCTGACCCAAATGTCCTGACAAAATTAAAGTACAAAGTAAAGTACAAAGAATGGTGTGCAAAAATGTAAGGGCAGAAAGAGCCAATCAAAGCTTTAGTTTTACTTTCATCTTGACGGTAGGACTCTTTAAAAGCCAGATGCAGGATGCAAGCAACGTTCAGGCTCCAAATTTGCTGCAGTTTCTATACTACTCCCTTCGACTGAGGATGGACAGCTACAGTGTCAGCTCAAACAAGGCCAGCAACTCTGGTAAGTCAGAATAAATATTAGTTTAATTTGATGTAGATCAATATGCTCCAACAAAAACATGTAAACAGACAACTTACCACTCACAACCTTTTATCTTATTCTGGGGGTTTCCTCATTTTTCAATGTTATATCAAATTTGTTTAATATTTATTGGCCTCTAATGGTATCTTGAAGTGATCCTATATGTCAATATTTATACCGGTAATTGTCTATTTATGTAAAATAATCGCTTAACTGTAAACCTAAGCTCCTTTATTTTCAATGTCAATGTAATCATTTTAAATGGAAAGGCTTTTTGTGACCCTTTGAAAGAGACAGATCAAGTAGGTCGCTTAAGTGGGTGTAGGGAGCCAACAATCCATAGTGCAGTCTTGATGAGCTGCTGCAGTGGTTTTGGATGCAGTGCAGATGGCATATCACACTGTACATCCACTAACAAACATGGTCAGATTCCTATAAAAGAGGAGGGTGCTGTCCGAGCTCCATCATGGACAACACTTCCACCCTCTGCACCAGACCGTAGAGGAGTTGAGCAGCTCCTTTACAGAAAAACTTTTACAGTCTATTTGTAAAAAGGGGCACTACCACAGTTCATTCATCCCTGCTGCAAACACACCCTACAATGTGACACACACTTCAACAGCAATAACTTTTGCAATTTATAATGTGCAATTGCTATTTGATACCTTGAGCAACAACTATTTCTCTATATTTGACACCCACTGCGATAACTATATATATAAATGGAAATATCCAACTATATAAATACCCATGTAAACACCCTGTGCAATTACCCTGTATAATAATCCTACTATATATATATATTTAAAAAAAAAGCTGTCATATGTGGATGCACTATATATACGGTTTATATCCCATGTACCTTTTTCTTCCTTTGGCACCTTGTCTTCTCCTTTGACTTTTTGAGCTGATGTAATGAGTAGATTTCTCTAAGTGTCTCCACTGTGAGATCATTAAAGTCAGTCAATCAATCAGTCAGAAAGAACAGCTGCACTATCCAAAGTGGAATGAATGCCGTCTCTCATAATAAGACCAGGTTCTCCCCAGAAAGGATTGCCAATTATCAATGTAGCCTGCATTGTTTTCAGGTGGAGAGAGCCTGAGCAACAGTAGAAACAGAAAGTGAACACAATACATCTCACCAACAGCAGCTCCCTTTCAAATATGAAAGTAATTTTTTTAGCACATGTAAAATGTACCTTATGTGCTTGTGGCAGTAAAACCAAAAAGGCTTTACATTTTATATTGTAAAATTAAAAAATGTCTCAGATTTGATCTTTACACCAAAATCTCCCCATTGTTGGACAATAAAGGGATTTTCTATTCTATTCTATTCTATTCTATTCTATTCTATTCTATTCTATTCTATTCTATTCTATATACATGGTTATCATTATTTTATTGATTCCCTTACCGCCTTCTTAGGTTATACCTTTATCATCATCCGTCTTTCAAATACACAGAAGCTTAAAGACATAGTGGAGGATATTTCTTTTCTGGGTGGATCAGCGAAATAAGCGGTCCTCCTAATTGAATATCATTCTGGTGATATGTTTACGTAAGGCCATCCTACGTGCTCACCCCCCATTTTCACTTAACGGTGGTGAGTCTGACATAGTGGAAAAATTGCAAATCTTCTTTTGGAAAGTAAGCTTGTAAGAGCGAAACAGAGCGTGCACAAGGAGAAATGGGCTCCTGCATGCTCTTGCAAGTGTTTAATAGGCGTTCCCTCTCAGGAGCGGGTAGAGGGTTGTCCATGTTCATTTTTAGTTTAAAGTGGAGAGGGCAAGCATGTTGAAAAATTCACTTTAACTTTAAGTCTTGCCTCAAATATGATGATGATGATTATTCTAATTGAATTTCCATCCTTCCTCTTTATAGGAATAAACTTTACAAACGACAATGAGTTGAGGATTGTGATGGTGGGGAAGACTGGAATTGGGAAGAGTTCCACTGGAAACACCATTCTTGGTCGACCCTGCTTTCAGTCCAAATGCAGCCCCAAATCCATGACTGTCAACTGCTCCAAATGTTACTCTGAGATTGACGGACAGCAGGTTGCTGTCATTGATACTCCAGGGCTGTTTGACACCAGATTTGGAGAAGATAAAACAAAAAAAGACCTGAGTCAGTGCATCAGTTACGCTGCACCTGGACCCCATATCTTCCTGGTGGTCACTGCAGTGGGCAGATTCACAGAAGAGGAAAAAAGATCAGTGCAACAGATCCAAGAGATCTTTGGAGAGGCTGCAGACAAATACAGCATGGTTCTCTTTACTCGTGGGGATGACCTTGATTGCACCATTGAGGAGTTTCTTCATGATAGCGAAGATTTGAATGAACTGGTGTCCAGATGTAACGGCCAATATCATGTCTTCAACAATAAGGATAAAGATAGAGTTCAGGTCAACAAGCTGCTCCAGAAGATCAAGAAAATAGTTGAAAAGAACGGAGGAAGTCACTATACCAATGAGATGTTTCAAGAGGCTGAGAAGGCAATCGAACAGAAGAAACAACATATCCTGAAGGAGAAGGAAGAAAAGATACGTAAAGAGAAAGAAGAACTGGAGAAAAATATTAAAGAAAAGTATCAGAAAGAAATCCAGAAAATGAACGAGCAATTCCAGGCTGAGAGAGAAAGGGAGAAGAGGGAGAGAGAGGAGGAAATGAGGAGAGAAAAGGCTGAGATGACCGAGGAGAGAAAGAAGGAAATGGAAAAAAGGGAGGAAGAGAGACAGGCTAGAGAAAGAGAGTTTAAAGCCATGAAAGAGCAACTGAAGGAAGAGCATGAGAGAGAAATTGAAAAAGCAAAATCTGAGCTGCAGTCCAGACATGAATCTGAGGCCAGGGTTGAAGCTGAAGAAAATAATCCTTTTTATCATCTGATTATGGCTGCTCAACATGCTGTACGGTTCTTTAAAGGCCTGTTTTCAAAATAAAGGGGAACATTTGTAAACTTGCACTCATTATTAATATCAGGGTGTGTACAAAAATATGACAATAAAAACACAGGCAATTGTAAATCTCCCAAAGAAAACAAAGTATAAAACACACCTAGAGCATAAAAAACACACAGCATTTATTCTCTTTTATTGTGTTAATAGAAAAAGAAAAGCTCACGCAGAGTGTGACCCCTTCATACTGCTGCATATTAACAATTACCAAAGGGACGGAAAGAAGCTGATTTAAAACATCCAGGTTTAGTGATTAACTTTTGCTTCAATTAACTTCATATCTTCAGCTGAGGGTGTTTAAGTCTTTTACTGAAGAAGGTGCTCAGCTTCTTTACTGATCAGTGCACAAGGAATTTGGTGTTTAAAAAAAACTGTCATTTGGATGTTTGGTAATTAGTATTTTAAATATTTGTGTATTATTTTCAAGTTTTGCAAGAATTTGAAATACCTGCTTTTTGTAAGTATTGCCTGATTCATGTTCTTAGCTTTCAGAAGCTGTCATCTCTGACATATCATTGGTTTAGCAATATTTGCAAAGAAATACTGGCAGTAAATATAGCGCTCTCACTTTGCTATGTCAATAACTATTGAATATTCATGCTGAAATATTTTAGTAATAATTTTTGCTTTATGATCGCTGTTTCAACCAATCTTCACGCTTTTTTAATAATTTTTTAATTTCCTTTAAGATCCTAATGTAAATCCTTTGTGAAGTTGAGAATGAAATGACAAATTAACCTTTATCTTTGCAATAAAAATAGTTAAACTGAATGGGAAATGCATTTTGTTTGCAATCATATATGTATTGTAATGTTTGAGGCAGTGGCATGTTACTGTATTGGATTACTAATAAACTATTTTAATGACTTAACAGCCAATGAAGCAGCGTCATTTTATAATAAAACCACTCTAACCTTTCCAGGATCTGACCAACATTATTCTAGGAGCACATCGATGACCAGTTGATCACAAAGGAACATGTACAACACGACAGAAATTTTTACCCCAGTTAAGGTTTCTATTCGGGATCTAAATCTAAGAGGAGACTAGCAAAAAAGGTATCAATAAGAAAGTTTCAAAGCAAAAAACACAATTTAGTAAAAGCAACACAAAGCTTTGCTTCAGATGAGGAACTTTATACCTACTCTTAAAAAGGGGCGAGTGTGATGGTCCCAGACATGGATGATTTGTTTTTATTAAGGAAGCAAAAAAAAAAATGGCCTTCTACGAAAAAATTGAATTAGTGAACACACACTAATTCAAAAAAATAAATATCACATTTGAACTCGCAATCCACCCTTACTGGCATTCAGTGCAAATATTAAAAAATGTATCAATTTATCAGTCAAATCCCATGAAAACTCAACTCATAATATCATGAAGTTTATTTATGAAAACATATTTATTTATGAGCTAAAATTTGAGTTTTAAGCAGGAACATCATCCCTGTGGATCTGAGAAGTTAAAACACCAGTTTGAGCTTCTCTGCATAGTTGTGTGTTTGCCACGTCAGCAGGGACTCTGCAGTGGAAGTTTTACACAAAGTCGAGACGGGACGCTGGACTCTTTCCAGTCTTCCCTGGAACTGTTGCAGGGTGTATTTAACGAGAGTGAAAAGGCCCAAAACAAACCAAAACTTTCTCACATTTCTGTCAGAGAAGCTATTAACCTTTGCATTAACTTAGATTTTTTTATTTTTTATTGCATCTTTCTGCTCTTTTCTGCCATCAACTTGCCACAAAGACGTACAGTCTTCCCATTTTCTGCTCAAATTTTTAGAAGAAGAAAATAAGAAAACCTAGATCATAAAAGGTTAAATACATACAGTTTAGGAATGTTTTGAAACTTCTGCAGAGTGCTGAGATTGGGAAATCATCATCTGTCTTTAATACTATCTTTAACCTTATATTAGCAATTACTTTTAGGGCAACTTAAAGAACAAAATTAGAAATTAGCCTAAGAAATTAATAGTTTATGCAACAGTAGAATCAGAGTTTAGACCTTTTTTGTCCTTTATGAAAGCAGCTGAAGGATTATGTAATAGTCCTGCTCCACCCTGTCTGCACCTGCCTCACGGGCTTGGCTCTGCTCAGCACGCTGCTTCCACGTGAAGAGACTGGAGCCAGATGGGACGCCACAGCACGCCATCCCTCCAGGCTGCTGAGGTTTGACTCTTGTTCCCCACAAACAGCTTTTCCAGTACTTTTCCTTTGTAAAGAGGGATGGGAAGGGAGGGTGTGAGGGAGATGGATAAATTTGTGAGCATCCACGTTGCAGGAGCCACAATCAACAGGTTTCAGAATGGAGTTCAGAGGAGTTTCTGTTCTGCTGGGCGTCTTGCTGCTCATCCACTGCTCTCTTCAGCAGAACACAGCAAGGAAGAAGTCGGTGAAAAAAGGTAAATGGAGATACTTTCACGGGTATGAAGGCCAGAACTGTTTTTTTTAATATTTTTCTTGACCCTGTCATCCTATGTGCACTTTGATTTTGGAGTTTTATGTAGACAGTGCTTTGTGTCTTCAATCAGAACCTTCGAGGGATGCTGCTGTGATGGAACTGCAGAAACAGATTGATGACATTGTTCAGGAGCTCAATCTGCTGAAGGAAAAACAAGCTCTGCAAACAGGTGAATTCAAGCAACAAAGCTGCTTCTTTACAGAGGATGATCAGACAGAAGATATAAAAGCTTCTACAGTACAAATTAGGAAGCAATGTATTTTGATACATCATGAATAGATCACATTCGGGTACTGATACAATCCAATAATTGCATATAGGAGCCTTTGATATTTTTTCAATAATGCTATTTTCAGTCACTACTCACTTAATTTAAATTGAGAACTGTTTGTTTGTCTTTACCCAGTAAAAAATCAGAACATTACTTCATGAAAGTATTGTTTAAAATGTAACAACCAGTGAAACGTGTAGAAAACCTGAAGTTATGCTTTCTTACCCAGTTAAAAATACTTAAAAGTTTAAGGTTAAAGTATAGTTGTATGCTGTTTGTCTGAGGTAGATTATCAGTCAGCTCATACACGTGTAATCAGCCTGGAGTCAAAAGCCTGAGGGACGCTTATTTTCCAAAATCCATCTATTTTCTTTCTTGCTTTACAGTGTGTTTAAGAGGAATAAAGATCCATGGAAAGTGTTATTTGGCTGAACCTCTGAAGAAAAGTTATCACACTGCCAGTGATGACTGCTACGCCCTGGGTGGCGTCCTCGGTACACCCACCTCCAGTGAAGAGAACGACCAACTTAGGGACTACATCCGACAGAGTGTGGGCCTGGATGAGCAGGTCTGGATTGGCATCAACGACATGAGCACCGAAGGCCAGTGGATAGACCAAGCTGGCTTAAGCGTCGCTTACAAAAACTGGGATGCATCCGACTTCAGATCTCCTCAGCCAGATGGGGGCAAATCCCAGAACTGTGGTGCCCTTTCAGCATCCAACGGGAAATGGCTTGATGAGAACTGCCGTGAGGAGAAGCTCTCAGTTTGCGAGTTCAACATAGTTTGATCCCCTGCTCATCCTGGACTGTGCACTTCGTTACAGCTGCTTTATGTATACTGTACACTCTCCTGCAGCCTACAGTTCTAATGAAGAGTTCAAACCAGTGATTTTCAACTGCATCCAGGCCAAAATGAGATGTTGAGGTCAAAGTTATAGTTACATAACCCTGGTTGTATTTTGACAAAAATGATGTGCTGGTATGTCATTTGCAGCATTCCTTTTGGTTATGATAAAACCAGAAGGGTTTTATCATAACCAAAAGTATAAAAAAAAAAGAAAACACTGAACCAAATTCACTTTTTTTTTTTAACATGCTATTAAAAAAAACTACCGGTAAGCAGGTTATTTTCAACTGACCAGAATACCGACGTGTAAAAGAAAAAGAAAAGGTGAAGGTGCTGGCAACTTTCCTGACTCTTACTTTTTTTAAACAATAAATTATTTTCCTCATGTAAACAATGAAGCATGTCTCACTTTGAGAACTGCTGGTCTGAACTTAACTGTCAAGTATAATTGCAGTTTTCTTTAAAGCAAATGAATCTTGCATTTCTCCACTGTACTAATCCTGCTTTTATTTTTATTATGCGATGTATCCTATGATACTTTTTAATAAACTCTGAATTTCGATTCCTTCTTTTGTTGTAATAAGGTTACAAGGGTGGAAATGAAGAACAAGCTGTAAATGACAATAGGACAGTGCCTGCAGTTTTAAAGGTGGGGTTCGGACTGGCAAATCTGTCTCTTTCAGCGTTTAATTCCATCACTTTCCTCAGTCTCGTTCTTCCATGCCCTCTTTCCACAAGTTCCAATCTTCAAAAGTTTAAACCATTTAAACGTTCCTGAATGAAAAGTTCTCCATATAAACAACATGCTATTGTTCAGAATGACAGAAGTCCTCCCTGTGATATTCAGCTAACCCTCTATGAATAATGGTCTAAATGTACTGTTCATAACTTTTCCTCTTCGTCATCAGCAGCAGGTTTGATCTCAACCTCTGCCAAGACCTTTCCGTTGTGGTCTCCACCACGACAGAGGGGATGACAGCTTAATGACTGAAGAGTGTTACCTCTGAGCCTGTTCTACTCATCATTACTGTTTCAGTACGTCTCCACAGTTCATAAGACTCAGGTCTATCATTCAACCTCCGCCCTGAACAGAGAGGTTTCTCCTTTTGGTGGTTCAGCTGTGCATGGCGCTGCTGATTGTGCAATAATGCAAACTGGAGGCTGATTTGAAGCTCCTTTTGAGAACAGGTGGCTTAGGCTTGTGGTTCAGTTGGACCCAGTAAGGCATGTACCACATCCTGCTTCACCTTTTTTTCAGTGCTCTTGCGTTCGTGAAGAGGTAATCCCACAAGCGAGAGCCTTAAAGGGCTACACCTATATCCAAAACATCTGGAGTTTCAGTAGATAACCAACGTTTTGCTAATGATTCAATTTTCTTATATATATATGTTTTTCTATTTTTTTACAAGCCTACATTAAAAATCACTACTACATTTTGTTATACAGCCAAGAACTTACATTATTTTAACATGATTGAGGTAGCTTATACCATTATACACATAATTTTCTATGTGGACATGGTTACTGTTGGATAGTTTTTTTTGAAGATCATTGTTGTTCTAAGATTGAAAGAAATTACGTTTATAGACTATTGCTGTGCTGAGAGGATTAGGGAGATTGCTGATAAAGAAGCAAAGATATCCATAAGGTCATGCCATAAAAGTAGCTCCAAACATGTGTCCTCTGTTACAATGGCACCTCCATATTTACTTTTTTTTTGATAATTACCTGCATGAGCGTTCCATTTTCCTGGGGATGGCGTCTGCTACATGTGAAAACTGTGGTCAAATTTAGTTTGGTGTCCTGCATCTTTTAGATGTGTCTCTGCTGCCACACCTGAATCAAATGGCTAAATTACCTACACAGTCTGAGGTCAAGGGTCCAATCCCAAATCGCTCTGTAAACTATTGCCCTCAACTATCGAGTATCACTCCCGATGAATTCACACTCACAGCTGTGGAGGATGTCTAGATAAGGGGATAAATGGGAATGGGATGCCCTCTTCCCTCCACTGGAAAAGAAAAGCAGTCATTGCTACGGTAACCCAACATCCCCATGTGCATAGCTGTAGCTCCATGGCACAGGTTGACATGAAATCAAACATTTGCCACTTTCTTAAAAGTAAACTTTTACAGTCAAATAAAACTATTTCAGAGGACATTCCTCTTTGAATGCAATGGGGGTTCTTTTTTTTTCCTAACTTATGATTTTCTGTCAGTGTGACGAAGATGCAGCAAATCAGCAGAAATTGCATTTAAATGCAGGTTTTTCCTCTGCCATTACGTCGCCTTTACACCTACTGCTAAATTCCAACGACTCTGCGCTGATGCAGATGAAGGGTTAGTGGGTAGGGGTAGTGTTTAAGGGCCGGTTTGAGTCTACGTCAAGCCTGACCTTATCCCATTTACCGGACTTCTGAATTACGCTTTTGTGAAACAGACACTTTTGTTGATCAGTAAAATTCCTGTAAAATTTTTGTGTTCAAGAAAATAAATGAATATATAAATAAAATAGTGAAGACAACTCAGCACATTAAAACACAAAACTGGAAATATTATAGCAAACATAGTTCAAATAAATAAATAAATTGAAGATTTTCAGACTATTTTAAAATGTCTATTTTATTAAAAAAACAGTGTCTGGTTGATGGGTTTTAAACAACAAAGAGGCATTTACCAACAAAACTTTATTCTGCACATCATAACTCATAAAAACACTTGGAAAACAAATATCCCTAATTACACACACACACAAAAAAAAATCAAATTAGATTGTTTCAAACCTCTGAAATTAAAACGGATTTAAAAATAAAAATGAAATTATTAAAACTAGACAGATTGCCTCAAAAGGGGCAACAAAAAGAAAACAACGAGGAATCTTGCAGACGACATAAAAGTAGTCTGTAGCTTTAGTCTAACCATATTTGAAACTGGTCACATCTTTTCCCTAGAAATCAGTGATGATATATTAGTATGCTTTCCTCCTTATCTATATTTACTCACAGAAAAGGTCAACAACAAAACTGTGTAGAAAAATACTCTAAAAAGTATTCAGAATTATTTTGTCATTTCCCTTCAAAATAAGAAAAAAATAACTATAACAATAAAAAAAAATTTGTCCAAGAGGTCACAGATTTCATTGTTAAGCTTCTGAACTGTGCTCCAGCTTGGTTAAGGTTCTCTTTTGACTAATAGAATGATTGCATCTGATTCCCAGAACAATTCCAGCAGAGATGAGGCTCTTGGTGTTAAAGCCTTGGAGCTCTGCAGAGAAGTAAAATGATGCATTAAAAAGACCTCAGATCCCAGAGTTTGATACGGACCTCAGACCCAGACAAATATTCAATAAAAAAAGCCAGGTCAATCATGTAGAAAGTTCCTTTACACTACAAACTGTCCTCTGGCATCGGCAGGTCCGGCTCCATTTCAGGGCCAGAGAGATGGATTGTGTTCATCTCTGCTTTGCCTTTGAATGTGTAGAGTTCATTATCTACCATCCTCCGGTCTTGAAAGCCGAGGCTGTTCTGCCGGTCGATGGGTGTGCGAGGACGAGGCGGGACAAAAGTCTCAGAGGGGTCCAGGAATGTTTGGTACTGTTCCTTCTCTGGCTCAGGTTCCTTACTAACCGGTGGCGGTCCATCAGTGGGACCCGTAAAAGTTTGATAGGAGTCCGTCTGCGGCCCTTTTGGGAGGTCCAAACTATCATTGTAGGTGGAACCACTCAGGAGGTGGCCATAGACCATGGTGTCATCTATGTAGTCATAAACGTGGGAGTCATTGTCCGCCTGGGTTTTGATAAAGTGCTTATCACCTGGACGGAAGATATTTCCCTTGCCCATGTAGATAGAAGATTCTGTGTTCATTTTTGCTTTCTTTTTCCTGTCGGAAAAGATAAAGACACACATGAAGTCAGTTTAGGCGACAGGCACCGTGTTGAAATATACCTTCTACAAATAGTTTTAATTAATTTATGTATAATCAATATAAGAGGGCCACAAAATAAACAAATAAATAAAAATAATTCTAACTTTCTGATGTTCTATTTTTTCTAATTCAAAGACTGGATTAATCAATACATTGACACAAAGGTTGGCGTATGCAAATCCCATAAAGGCAACACAAGGGCATGGGATTCAGAGGAGGAGTTTGTACTGCTGATGAAAAGCCATGTTTCTAAAATTTACTTTCCTTTTTTACCATTTAAACCATAAATATAGAAGGTGGTAAAAAATAATGAAAAGATGCATACCTTATTAAAACACATATAGTAGCCAGTACAGCGATCAGAACTACAAGAGCTCCGCATAAACCCAGAATGATAGCTAACCAATCTATGGAGAAAAAACAAAAACAAAAATGTAATCAAAATTTTTAACAGGAGATTTTTTTTTTTTTGTATTAAATAAAGAGTGATTCCTTACTGGTCTTTTTCTGAAGAGCAATTATGGTTCTGACACCAAAATGCATCTTCTCTGGTTTGCAGTTTGAGATGTTCAGGTAGAAGCTCTTCTTGAGCACCTGGTCTTCCACGTCTTCATCCTCCCTGCGGCTCATGAGCTCCTCCTTATGGCCCAGGTACTGAACCTTGATGCAGGTGTGTCTTTCTGCACATTTGATCTTGCTGACGTTGGTGAACCTAAGGTGTGCTTTGTAGTGACTAGGAAGATCTACGATCCAGGAGACAGTGGAGAAAGGCTTCATTCCCTGAGGCCAGCTTGGGGTGGCCAGTATGGTGGTCTCCAACATACTGGGTTCGACTCTGTAGATGATGTCCTCTAAAAAAAAAGACGTGGTAGTAAAGTTTGGATTCAGAGCTGTCCGGGGATTTAACCTCTCTAAAAGAACTGAGGCAATACTGCCTCCATGTGGGCATTATTCAAAAAAGAAATTATTAGAAAAATAAAGTCATGCCTTTGTTACTGATTCATTTTCTTGATTTATAAACATTCCAGGGATATTTTATTCTATTATTCATATTAATAAAAACATATAAAACACTCATTACAAAAATCTAAATACCGAATGATCATTATATGTTTGCCCTATTATCTATTTTAGCAACCAGAGGACTAAATGTGCCAGAGAGCAAGTTTTAACTTCTTCTGAACTTTCGTTCAGGTGTTGAAAAACTGAAGGGAAATGTTGCTACATCGCAAATGACAGTGAGTCAAAACAATCTGTTTTCTTCCATCTCTGCTCAGAGAGTTTTAACTCATACAGGCAAGTCTTTCCAGATATCTCCAAGTCATGTGTTAGTGGAGAGAGAAAAGCCTTTTTATTTTAATGAGAAAAGGCAGCTAAATAATGTATATTATTTAAATCTGTTAGAATGTCATTTTCCTTCCTCCATATTAAATGTATCTTTATTTTTAAGAAGAGGTAAATAAATAACCCATCTATTTGCTACATCATTTTAGTAATCTATTTTAGTTATATTACCCATTTATGTTTTTTTTCCTGTTTTATTTGTTATTTTAGATCTTTTCTCTATGAATAAATGCTCAAAAAGTTAAATTGGCAAATGACTATAGAATACTTGAATGAAGTTACAGTTTTGGTCTCATTTTCTATCTGTATTACATTTTCCTTTCGATAAACACATAGCTTTTCCTTTCTTCTCGTATTTTTGTGTGAAAATTTTTTTTATCCCAGGGTTGACAGGGTTAGTTTGGAGATTTCAGGTTATAACTAATACATTTCAGAAAGTATATTTCAGAACAATTTCATATCACATATACCTCGACTGTCTTTGTTTTTCTTCCTGTAGAAGGTATGCAGGGTTTAGCAGTGCCCCATTCCTTAATCAGGTCATTATTGGAGAAGTCAGCCAATAACTGCAATTAATGCTATAGTGTTTCCCTGCCTTGTACAAAATCATTAGCAGAGCTACTGTTGATATAGACTTTCAGTTTGTTTATTTTTCTTTACCAAAGAAAAACTTTTACCTTATTCTCTTTATGGGCAATCTTATGGCTATCTCCTCTGACCTATTGGTTCTTACTTTTTTCTATATAAAGCACTCCAAACTCAGTCCAAACTAAAAAAGAACGAAGTAACTACAAACGTCTGATCCCATCAACTATTTGTGTTTTTTCTTTAGCAGAGAAAGAACTCCTGACTGAGCTTACGTGAATAGTTCTGTCTCCGACTTTGAGTATTTCTTTTATTTATTTGCTTGTTATAGAGAGTACCTCTGGTACTTGCGTGTTTTTCAGTCTCTTTCCTGGATAAATAAATATTGTCAGAACCTTTTCTACCATTAACTCTGCTCTGATTTTTACTTGTTTTGTTCTATAGAAAGTGGCCTAATATGTCTGTCTTTTTATTTACATTAAATAGATAAATATCTTTTTTGAACCGTTTAGATTTAACCTCCGTTCTTCTATAATGCATACAAATGACATGCTTTATGTTCTCAATATAAGCCTTAAATCAGCCGTTTGATTAAAATCAATTAGTCAGAAAGTTAGTTTAAAGTTTTTCTTGACATACAGGTGACTATGCTTTAATCAATCTAATCAATTCATCTTCCTCAAGCACAAGTTTTTAATGCCATACATGAACATAAACTAAATTTAAAATATGTGAGTGAAACCTCCTTTAGTCGCTTCTATAAGTGCTGCTTTAAGTTTGTGCTTTGGTCGGATCTGACCAAGGTTGGACTTTGTAGCAACGAAGACAAAAGATGAATATGTGCAAAACCACCTCAAATACACAGTTTTAAACAGTGGAGAACATGTGATACTATGGGCTTTTTTCTTCTTCAAAGACTAAAGGTGCATTGCTCACATCATAAACTCCTTGGATACAAAAGGATCTAAAATACAATGTCAGTGGTATCTACCAGAAAGCTAAAGGTCTTTCAACAGGATACCATTCCTTAAGAGGAGTGCATTCAGTATTTTTAACCCCCCAATCTAAATCATAAAGCAAATACAGCAAAGATTGTGCAGAAATAAATGACCAAAAGCATCCCTCCATAGAACAAAGTGTTGTGCTGCTGGCAAAAAATCATTTTACAAAGTTCTTGCAACTACCAGACCAATAGTCATGCCATTACTTATTTGTTTTTCTAAAGATTCCTACCACATCTTTTTTGTGTGTCAAGAGTGTGGTTTTGCTTTGAATTCATTGTAAAGTTCTTTGTTACATTTTAAACAGGATAACCAATAAATATGGCGGTACCACATCTACCATGAAGATGCTTTCAATGGGTGATCAATATATTAACCCATAAATGGGTGAGTTGGCGTATTTTATCTTGGAAACATACATTTATCGATTTTACCTGCGATCTCTGGACTGACGACGACGTTAAGCAAAGGCTCCACATTCTTCTTCAAGTCTTGTCCAGTAGTTGTGATGGAGACATTGGTGTGGACTTGAAGTTTCTTGATCACACCATCCGAGCAGAACTCTCCAAGTGAAAAGTTCTCCTCCTCGACAATATGCAGCGAGTTAGACTGATTGCACTCCTGCCCTGGCAGGGACTGCCTGAGACTTCCCGTAGGAGAACGCAAGTCTAGGGTGGCCTCTTTGGGAATTTTTAGGTGCCACGTGAAGCTCAGCAGGGGCATTGGTGGACAGGAACCCAAAGGCGGTACAGAGAGATTAAATGAAGGGCACGATGTTATTTCGTCACATGCTGGAATAATAAAGAAGAAAATTAAGATAAGACATTAAGTTTCTGGTAGCTTCCATTACTGCGTCTATAAGAAATATCTATACTTTTAATCAGTTTTGTATACTTAGCTTTCAGAGAGTTGTAACTCTTTCTTTATATTTTAAAGTAGCATTGATTATTAGTTCTTCCTTTTTCTAAGGTCTGTGTTATTAATTAGAGTGTAGCAGCTTTGGCAAATTGTTTTAATCTCATCGGATCCCTGCATTAAGTAAGTATATCTTGTCATTCAGACAGACATTTTCTAGTAGGATATTTCTTTATATTCTATTCTGTCTTGCTCTTCCTTCAACAATGATAATAATTAAAGTGATTCTAGTCAAAAAATGTGTTTTGTGAAAACAAACATTTTTTATGCATTAAACACAGCAGCAAAAAAACAAAAACAAATTCATTTTGTCATAGACAAATAGATCCATGACAATAATGTCCCAAAATGACACATACAGAAATATAATATAAAAGTTGTACTAATGATATAAATGTAATTAGTATTTATGGTATAAGAGATATTAAAGATATGAAACAATGGTGGGGGTAGGGGCACTGTTGTCATGTCAGGGGGGATTGGCAGTCTATTGGTTAGGGCACTGTGATTGGAATCCAGAGGTTCTGATTTCAAGTCCCCCTCCCACAGACTGCCACCCTTGGTCCCTGAGCAAGACCCTTAACTCCACACTGCTCCCCTGACGCTGGACAATGGCAGCCTACTGCTCCACGAAGGGATGGGTTAAATGCAGAGAGTTAATTTAATTGCTCTCTACTTGTAAAAGTGTGATGACGATAAATTTGAATTCTAATTCTAAATTCATAAAGTAATAATTACCGTCACAACCATTTCTATTTGACAGTTGCAATTGGTCACCTAACTATATAGACATAAGTCAGCCACTTGTCTCAACATTTGACACTCAATATCACTAATTTGTAGAAACAAAAAGCTTTGCATAAACTTTAGAGAGTGAAATATTTTTACCAATAATTTTGCTTGCAGTCAGGCGAACATCCTCCCTAGGACAGTCGAGGAAGGAGAGTTTGGCTTTGGTACCAGCAGCCACATTTATCTTCTCCTTCGGCACAGAGTCTATGGTCATCTCACAAAAAGTGTCAGAACCCACCTTCTCTATCTGCATGGAAACTCCTTTGTGTGTGCTTAGATCCACTGTACAGAAGACTTAGAGAAACCAAATGTCAGTCATTAGATTTCAGTGTAAAAAAGGTAGGCTTTACTTGGTTCTATAGAATACTGATCCAAATCCCAGGTCTTACCTGGGTGACCACTCCTCATCACAGAGACACTGTAGCTTAGGCTGAGTCCTGATAGCGTTCTGTTTGTTTCGCAGTTCTTTAGGATCATGTTAAAGCTACCCTGCTGCTGCTTAGGCTGGGGATCCATCAGCGACTTGGTCATGTTTTTTTCCTCCTTCTGGTACTCTACCTCAACATCACCATTTAGACACTCTGCAGGGGCTCCCGCATTACCGAAGCTGATGGTGTAGTTGTGCATGTCGGGAACAGAGAACATCCACTGTATCGGCTCATTATCAGGAAAATCTCCAGGATAGTTAGGTGTGACAATGTTTATGTCTGATACGCCTCGTGGTAGATCAATTTTAACTGTGGCCAACACTAGGAAAACAAAAGAAGAACGATCAAAACCATGAAAAGTAAAGTTCGGAGATTTTTAAAGCTTTTAAATACAAGGATACAAGAATTAATGACTAAATAGATAGCATAACCATTGGTAGCCAGAAGCTCTTGTTGGTGCAATATCAACATAGTCTAACTAAGCATGCAATGCTTTAAATTGCCATTCTCAACCAAGGAAGCTTAGATGCACCATTACGACACAATAACATCACTACGTGTTAAATGTGCATCATCAAAGTCAATAGACTTCGACGAAAGCAGTGTGGTCTGAGTACCCCCTTGACAAGGCATCCAATACCAATAGAGTACATTAATTTTGTGGAGAACACCATGTAAAACCTCAGAGACATGAGAGAATACTCATGCCAAAAAGAACCTGTTTCATGCTCACCCACAAGTGGGGATTCAGAAGAACAATACATCAAGACAAACCAAAAATGTCAAATGATGTAATTCTCTAAACAACCAGGTCAAAAACTCCAAACTGTACAGTTACACTTGGACAATATGCAAACCTTAAACTTGCTTAAACATTTGGCATAAAAACTTTTCAAAAGCTATTTTTTAACAACTTGATGAACAGACCAAACGTGGCTAGGGTTATCCTGAGCTATCCTGAGCTATGGACACTTTAAGTAAAACTTTCTCCAACAGTGAAATTTGGTTCAGTGAAAGGTGCGGCGTTGGCCATTATACAGTGCCTTGCTAAAGTATTTGACCCTCTTGAACTTTTCAATATTTTGCCACATTTTAGGCTTCAAACATAAAGACATAAAATTGTAATTTTTTGTGAAGAATCAACAATAAGAGGGACACAACCATGAAGTCGAACAAAATTTAAAGAATATCTTAATCTAAAAAATAAAAAATATGGTGTGCAAAATTTTTCAGCCTTGTTTAGATAAAACTTTGTTGCGCCAACTTTTGCTGCTATTACAGCTGAAAGTTGCTTGGGGTATTTGGTTTTGCACATTGAGAGACTAAAATTTTTGCCCATTCCTCCTTACAAAACGGCTGGAGCTCAGTGAGGTTGGATGGAGAGCGTTTGTGAACAGCAGTTTTCAGTTCTTTCCACAGTTTTCTCGATTAGATTCATTTTTGGACTTTCACTTGACCATCTGGATATTTTTGGTATTTTCAGTTGGTGTGTTCAGTGTGATTAGCTGTGTTGCTTTTAAGCCAAACATAACATTTTGCATTGTTGCCAAAAAGTTAAATTTGGTTTCATCTGACCAGAGCTCCTTCTTCCATATTTTTTCTGAGTCTCCCAGGTTGATTGTGGCAAACTGTAATCAAGACTTTTTATGGATATCTTTAAGACATTGCTTTCTTCACTTACACACAAGTGGATTCTATTTATCGTCATTAGTCATTTAGATCAACAGTGGATCATTCAGAGATTCTCAGTGAACTTCTGGAGACATTTGTCTTTTCTGTTTGAAGCCTGAAAGGTGGCAAAAGGTTTAAAAGTTCAAGGGGGTTAGATACTTTTGCAAGGCACTGAATAAATTTTAGAAAAGAAAGCAATTAATGGAGTAAAATGTAAAATCTCAGTCAAAATACAATCGTAGACAAAGTAAAAATAATAAAAAAAATAAAAATCTGTTTTATGCATTCTACATGGTTATTACCAGGGCTATCAAATTACTACAGATAAACTACATGATGATTTAAAACATTTATTTAAAAAAATTAAATTAAATTTCCACAAGATCACAAAACAGAAAAATTATTAAAAACTCCCCAAACAACATGCTGAATTTAAAAAAAGTTGCACATCATAAGCTGTAGTAGCTGAATTAAATACTGATTGCATAAACAAAAAAATGTGTTCATGCATATTATTAAACTAGACATACTTAGAATAAATAATAATAAACTATGTAAAATACTTGTGATTTCCATTGTACAGAGATGTGAAACTATCATTTAAAGACAGGATATGATGCTCTGACATGTCAGACAATTTATGACTTTGTTTCAATGAAGTGGATGATGATTGTGATACACCTCTATTTTTTTATTATAATCAGGCATTCAGTGCTATGACACATACTTTGTGCTGGAAGCAGCTCCTTTATATACATGGTTAAATAGGCGCTTTTTAGGTGATACCTTAAGAAGTTTATATTGTTAATATATATGCACTGAAAAGCATAAAGAGAAACCTTTAAAGTATGTCATCACTCCAGAGCTGATACACCTGGTTCTATCTTTCTGTTTAACCCCAATTCAGTCAGTGCAACTGAAGGAGCTATCGCTTGAATCATGTTGTGTATTCTTCTGCCATTGATATAACCGCTGACTCAGAGCTAATGGTTTAAATGTGTCCCTCTCTGAGCCTTGCAGGTGAAGCCCTTAAAAGAACTAGCTGCCACTAACTGTTTACTTTTTCTTTTACATAGCACCAGTGCTTCTGTATTTTATGTGCGAGCTTGTTCCTCTCAATCGGCCAAAGGAGATGGCAGCTTATAACTCCTGCATTTGCTAGAAATTTCTTCCTGCTAAATGGGTGTTTTCTCTTCTCAACTGTTGCTAAAAGTACGATGATCTGCTGCGAGGTTGACACCATTTTATTGAACATTTACCTTGGCGCATGCTTGCTCAAGAAGAGCAATTAATGGAAAGCCAATTACTGGATGGGAACACCTGGGTTTCCTTAAAAATGGTTTAAAAAATGCACTAATTAGAGGAATAAACTGAACTTGACTGAATTATTTGATAACTATGACTGACTTTAGGGGGAGATAAATAACTCTGAACCTGTCAGAGTGACTGGATTTAAGTAATCATACATTAAAGTATGAAAAAATGTGACTTTTTTCCAGTAAAGTGCACAGAGACAACATTTTGTTTGTAAACATAAACTGAATTGAAATAAGTGATAAATCTGTGCTGGAATAGAAAAAAAAATTACTGTAACAGACTTACTCTTTGTCTCAGGTCCGACTTTAAGTTTGAAGTTCACAGGGTCCAGCATTGCATTACCAGGAACGGTCAGTGACACACGACCCTTGTAACGACCCAGTATTGAGGTCACAGGGCCACCTTTGCAAAAAGTGCCGATATTTGTCAGGCCAGATCGTGAGTAAATCACAATAGAGTATGTGTTGTCATCTGGACACATCTCTTCATTGGGAATCTGTCGCAGTCCCGTTTCGGAAAAGTCTAGATCGAACGCTCGAGTCGAATTAACCTTCAAGTCCCAGGTGAAAGTCCGGTTGAAGTCTGGAAAGAAACTTTTTTGTGCATGAACGGTATCACCTAAACAGGATTCCTCTGTGCAGTCTGAGGACAAAGCATAGAACAATGTTATAAAGTATTAATTTCTGCTTCAAAAAGGGGTTGAATAAAGTTCAATATATGGAGATTTTTTTAAACAATAATTAAGATGTCAATGTAGTGGCAATATAAGTATTATTTCCATGTGCAAGTGGATAAAGTTGGTGGACAGGGACAGTTGTAGGCTTAATTATATGAGGGGGCAGTCAAATGTGCAGAAATAATGCCCCATATTTACTATTATTGTTGAAATGTGGTTACTTCATGGGACTGAACTAATAGCTACAAGCTGATATTTTAAAACACTAATTAAGAATGGAACAGTGAAAAGATGCATTTTAATCAAATGTGTCAGTTTATGTAAAAATATTTATATTGGAAAAATATCCAAATCTTCTTCTGAAGTCTGAGAATCGTCATAACAAGGCAATATAGGCCACTGAATGAGTTAGTTTTTTGTAGTTTATGTTTTGTTTATTTTATGTGGGTAATTTTTGTGTTTTTGAACTATTTCTGTAAAAGTCTTATGAGCTGAATAGGTTTATTTTTTTATCAGAATAAGAGATACATTTCTGAATAAATTTCTGCTTCGTTCTGCTCCTTTGTAATCACTGTTTTAGTTGTTACATAAAGTATTTATATTTATCATTGGGTAAATAAATAAAAATAAAATGAAATAAAACAAACTGTGTCCAACTGCACTAAAATGGGTTGCCTCTATCCTAAGACATTCCCAGCCTTGGTATTGGTTGTGTTCCACCTAAAGCAAAGCTCCTGCAAGTCTAGTTCTTAGGTTACCTGCCCATAATAAGGTGGCAATCTTTTAGGGGGGGAAACTATATATAATAATTATAATTCATATAAGATTAAACAACCAACATATTATTTATCTTATTGTATGATCATTATGCCTCTTAAACCAATATGAGTCTAATAGCATTAACAGAAGTGTGAAATAAAATATTTTCTTTAAAAAAAACTGTTTAGATCTACAGAAAGCTTCAGGTGTTTTGGTTAAAAATATGACTCCTTAAATACGATATTTTTTAAATTACTGATGAGAAAATAAATTCAGAGACACACAGAGCGCTTCAAGAACTTCTAAATCCTGAGAGAAGAGAGATTAGAAAAAAACTACATGGATTATATTTAAAAACAGCATAACAACTAGAAAGTGCCTGGGTCCTTTACACACATCAGTCGGTGTTATCCACCACCGGTCACTTACTATGTGCTTAAATTGGGAAACACTTCATATAACAGGCTCTAATTTGGAAATTAACAACAAGGTTGTTTTAACTAAATATATGCTCTATTTTCATCTGTTTTTATAGTTGGCTTTTTAGTTTCTCATAACATGAATCACAACAATTAATTTCACAGAGCTTTTCTGCTTTCTCAGAATTCACCGAATGAGCTTTTCCTCTTAGTGACAGAGAATCTGACACTGGTTGCCAAGTGTAGCCCTTGTCAGACTACTTGTAGGCTAATTTGCAAACCAATTGCTGATTGGTTAATTACCACAAGAAGCAGGGCAGGAGTTTGGGTTCTCTACTGACTGCAGACAGACAGAAGGAGAGGATCACAACCTATGCACGATGCACAGCAGAACCTAAGAGATGTTCAGTTACTTTTAGCAGGTATGATTTGAGGGGGCAAGGCGTATGTTTGAGGGGCCACTGCCCTGATCTTGGCCCAGGGTTGGCAGGAAGTTTATGAGAAAATATTTTTAAATTCAGCAGGGCAAAAGTGTGCCCAGATTACAAACCAGATTAAACTGAGAGTAAAACTGATCTTACATTAGCTCATTACATGTAGAGTTATACATTTAAGTTTTTTTCTGTTTGGTTTGTTTTGCTAATTACCATGATTATGGCTTACATTTAAGAAAGAAACCAAAGTTCTGGTATTTACAAAGTTGAAATTTTGCTATTCATTTTAACTTGTACTATATGACAACATATTTTCAATGCTCATACCAATTTCTCTGTTTATTTCCACACTGAAGATACTTTGTGGTTCAGAACATGTGAATTCCACTGGTGTGGAATGAGGACTGTCCAGTGTCACTTTTAGTTCGTTGCACTCCTGAACGGACTTTATAGTTGCACAGATTTCACAGTCTGGTTTTTTATCCTTCCTGCTGATGATGACTTTTGTTTTGGGATCAGAGGTCACAGACATGGATTTTCCACCTAAAAAAAACAAATACATGTCAATCATAGGAAACTTCTGCAGATGGCAAAGTGATTAGTTCTTCCGTAAATAACAATTTTGTTTGATTTATTTTTTTTTTTTACATGAATGGTGTTAAAATATGTTCTCACCTCTAGGTGCTGCTTTTAAACTGAATACGTGTGGTTCCAGTTCTCCTCCTTTAGGCACTTCGACAGACACCGTCTTCATTCCAAAATAATCAAGTTTAGACCCACTCAAACCTTTGCAATAAATGCTAGTTTTCAACTGTCCATTGAGCCTCATAGTACTGACAGTATACTGGAAACCATCTTTACAAGTCTCTGAAGGAGACGATTTCTCTTCTAGTCCCTTGGGAAATTCTAAAGTTATGACAGTCTTGTCTGGAACATTAATAATGTCCCATGTTATGTTTTTTTTAAAACCCTTGAAGAAATCTGGATCTACTTCGGCCACAGCAGGGGTGCAGGAATTCATTGTGCATGCTGAGAGAAAAACAGAAGGAAAAAAAAGATAAAGAGTTGTTAAACTCAGTTGAGTTAAATTAACCAGTTTCAGAAAGAGATGGTGAAGCCTTACCCAGCTCTGTTGTCATTTTCATTTGGAACACTTCTTGAGGTTTCAGGCATTTAAATTTTAAAGACAGCTTTTCAGCACTTTTTAGAGTCACTTCTGTTGCGCTGCAACCAGGACTGGTACCGTTAACAACACACACTTCACATTCTTTCTCCCCAGGTTCTCTGCTCAGAACCACGGTTGAACTGGGACCAATGGTAACAGTCATTTCTCGCTCTGGTAAAAAAGATATAAAATAGAGAAAATACAGATTCAACAAGCATGATTTGTTGATGGGCGACGGGCTTTTAAATCTAGATTAAAAAGATTGGTGATGTTACCTGATTTTATAAATGCAAATCTATTTAAATTTAAAGTGTATTCTTTTTTTTTCAAGCAATCATTGTCAAAATGTGTTCATGTAAGAAACGTAAACAATGCATATAAATTTTGATGGGTAACTACTTATACATAATATTTACCCATAAAACTAGCTTAACTAAAGTTAGACACATGCTAAAGATGATGCACGGAATTAATGACATTTGATAGACCGCTTTGTTTAGCTGCAACCAAATTATGCTTAAGGTAATGCTCCATTTAAAATACGTCTATTGAAAAAAAAAAAAAAATCAGAGTTTGTAAGCCTAGATTGGTTCAACATGTTCTCAAGATGTGGCCAAAAAGCACAACTCCAAACCCCATGGTGTGAAATTTAAAAAGAAGACTATAACTCCTAAACTGGTACTATACATAGAATTTCAATCCTTTTACAAAGCAGTCAGATGTAGCTATTAAAACAATCAACAGGCACACAGCAAGACTCAAGAAGTTTATGATTTATACAAACCCTGATCAATATGGCTGCCGTTTGCATACATTAAGTAAAAGCACAGAAGATAACTGCCTGCTTTTCGACCCATTTAAAATCAGATTGATAGGTTACACACATTATACTGTTCAAGCTCCAAAAGTCAAAAAATAGTTTTGAATATAGAACAATACTTTATTTCTGCCCTGTAATGCAAAGAGTAGCTAGTGCGGTTACAGATGAAAACATCTAAATAGATCAGTTGGGGGTCACATCAGGAAATGGAAAAAAGAATTCAGAAAAACTATTATCATCAATATAATGTTAATAATTTTCAATACCACTATCAACACTTATTTTGAGCTAAAAATTTATAGAGGAAACTAAATAAAATATCTTATCTTGCTAAAATATCTTATTTCTTATAAAAAAACAAAGATGAAAAAAGCAAAGATTGTACACTGGGTAAGCTGGTTAATTTGTTCACTATGTTGTAGGTTTCTTAGTTTTGGGCTCTTCCCTCCATATCAAAGATTTGTGCAGTGTCTATTATGGGTCTTTTCATATCTTCTTTGACTATAATTGACTAATCTATTTTGAAAGCATTCAACAAGAGCTTATTGTATAAAACTAAGGTTTTAGGATAATATTGGATATCTAAGGGTAAGAGGTCAAATACTGTTAATTTGGTTTAATCCTGGACAGGATAAGGAAAACATGACATTATGATATTAATACTGAATATCACAAAAGCCATTATGAATAACCTATATTTCTATAACCCTAAATCTTACAACTGCTCTTGGAGACTTTTAGTTGCTAAAATATTTAGCAATCTTCTGATACAGACTGAGAGAGTCTATCCATGTGGCCCATGTCATCATTCAAAAGCAGAGTTTTAATTCATGGCTCCTGAAACATTATTGTACACCAACTACATCCAAGCTGGGCTTTGTTGCTGTGGCATTGCAATCCATATATCAAGAAACTTTAATCAGGGGTTCACAATTTTTTATGTTTATTATAAGAAAACTGCCCAACCCTGGGATTACGAACACAATGGAAACAGAATTTAGAAAGAGAAATAACATCAAGTTATCAGAGCAGATTTTTTTTCAAATAGCAATTTACCTCTATAGTTACAAAAAATACACACATAAATAATTGTAATAATCTACTACACATCATTTCAGTGGGATATTGTGAAAGAATTGTTAGAATGGACAGGTTCTTACCCAATGGTCCTGACGAGGCCTGAAATAGTGCAGAGGGCACCTTTATCTGTGGTTTGGCTTCTAGAACCATCAGGCCTTGATTGGAAAAGTCAAGTTGTGCAATAGAGCCGCCCCGACAGTACTGAGTTGGAGCTTCGTTTGTTTCAGATGCAACCATTGAAAACAACAGTCCATCAGTGCAAGGCTTTGAAGTCTCAGTCAGTTCTTCGCCTAGGACTTGTAGACGCACAAGCGTCTTTTCAGGAGCTTTCAGCTTCCAGATGAAGGTTCTGGAGAACTCTGACAGGATCGATGACTGAACCTCTACTATTTGAGGCTCACATAACTTCTCCGTACATTCTGTAATGAGGTTTCAAAGGTGAAACAAGTGTTTTGTTAAACTAGATTCTTTAGTATCTAGTATCTAATTCTTGATACTAGAATATAACAGACTTTAAAAAAAGTCTAGAATGTAATTCCTTGAATGTATGAAAATCTAAAGAATTTAAGACAAAAAAAAAGACCAATGAATTCTGATTAAATTGTGTGTAACTCACCAATTAAGCTGGTAATCGTCACACTGTATGATTGTTCAATGGGTTCCGAGCAGGTAAACCGCAGTTTAACTTTCTCCCCAGGCACTAAATCCAAAGAAGGATGGCAGGTTGTCTGGGTGTCATTTACCCCGGTGACTGTACACACAGTACAATTAGGTCGCTCGCTGGACACTGTGACTTGAGAAGCGTTTTGTGGCTGTACCGTGGTTTCAAAGGCTTCTGAGGTGAAGAGCAAAATGTACAGAAACTGAATAAAAAGATGCTGAACAAATAAAAATAGGAGATTTGACTGTGTGGCAGAGCTGTGCAGGAAAATAAATAAAAGTAATGCTTCAATGTAGGGCTGCAACTAACGATTATTTTGCAAATTGATTAATCTGTTGATCATTTTTTTAATTAATCACTTATTAATTGGACAGCAAAAGGTTCCTTAAAGAAGACTTTTGTTGAAATTAAACCAGGTGAAACTAAAACTTTTCCACTTGAGGAGTTCTGGATAGAGTATATTAACAAACGAAAAAGTTTTTTATCTTAAATATGAAAGGTTTTTGTACAATTTTTGGAATAATATCTGAGCTCTAAGTCGGTTGCTATGTCACCTACAGGCATTGTTTAGAGTCTTTACGCACTAGCTTAATCGATTACTAAATTAGTTAAAAATTATTCCAATAATCAATTAATCACTATTAATCCGATTAATTGTTTCAGCCCTACTGAAACAATTAATCGGATTATGAATAATGATGAAAATGAACAGAAAATACATCAACAATGATTTTAGAGAAAGAAAAGGAAAAGCCAACTGATTAGGGAAAGGTTATAAAACCATTTCCATGGAGTGGAAATGGTTTTATAACCGCCCCAAAACAAATTATACTATACGATACTCAGAAAATTACAACAAAACCCTAAGCTGTTTCTCAGACCTCACAGGTCTCAGTTAGCATGTTAAATGTTGGAGATCATGACAGATCAGTTAAAAACAGACTGAACAGGTATGGCTTGTTTACAAGAGTTGCCTCATAGGCGAGGTAAGCTGTGCCTGATCAAAATCACACTGATTCAAATTTCTAACCACAACCTATTCCAATAGAATAAGTGTCACTCTATATTGTATTCTTTTAAATCAAAGTATATGCACATTTTCATTTATTTTCATCAACTAGTTACTTTCCACTAATTTCAATCTTTCAGACAGAAAATAAATTCAGATGAAATCTAGCTGTTTTAAAAGAGTTTTAAATCCTGAAATACATTTTAGACCTTTAGAAATGTATTATATAAACCAGAGATTTTAGTGGATCAAATATTCATTATATAAAGCATATTTCTAACAACTGAAGCCTGTTTTCATGCAATAAAAACACTGTATAGAGAAATAAACCCACCCATGCATCCATGAATAATCAGGTTATGGGGGTTTGGGGAAGGAATTGTCCAGAAACCTGGGCAACCAGGAAACATCCTTATCAGGTCCTCAAAACCATCTCAATAGACTCCTTTCTGTGGTGGTAAAGGAGTGCAGAACAAAACCTATACAAGCCTTAGTCCTCATACAGCTGCCTTATGTCCAGGTCACAGCCCAGGCAGCTTCTCTCTCCACCCCATTTCAAGTTAATTCACCATTAAATAGAAACCATTAGTGCCCCCCCCCAAAAAAAAACTTCAGTTCCACTTTGCTTCTTTTCTTTTACTTTTTTTTTTTTTTTTTCAGGCAGGCATTCAGACTCCTTTATGAGCAGCTGTTCTACTTCAAACTGGCGGAGCTCCTTCCCTAATCTTATTTTAGACATATGGTTCATTTTAGCCACTTGTGTCTGAGATATTTTTATTTCATCCATATCTCATTTACTATAGCTGAGGGTGAAATGATGTGAGGTACAAATCGAGAGCTTTGCTTTTCAGCTCTTATGATTCTTCATCAAGCCAGAATGCAGCATTGCCCAGGTCCCTGCACATGAGGCTTCAATTCATCCTCTGCTCCATCCTACTGTCATTCTCCACCATACTTAAGCTGCTCCCCTTGAGTTAAACACTGTCCCTAACTTGAAGGGAGCAGCGATCATTTTGGGGTTGAAAACCTGAAACTCAGAGGACCCCAAAGACATACAGACGATGACAACTTCAAAGGATGTCTCGCTAAAGCCCAGGTGATTCAGAAAGATTGCTGGTGACACATGAGCAAACACTGTTGCCAGGCACTCCTATCCAACTGACTGTAATGATGAAGCTAAGCAAATTAATAGGAAGTCTAATAAAACATGAGTCATAGTGAGTGAAGAGAATCACATTTATGGATAAAATGATATTTGTTCTACTAAGAAAACATCTTTTAAAGCCAGACCCATTTACAGCAAGGGTAAAGCTGCAGTTTTATGACTTTATATCAGAGTGCAGATTATTAAGCATCCATTTGTTGCTTAAAAGCCCTCTGTTGTAGGGGTATATTCCACAGGAAGTCAAAAACATTCCTCTTTTCAAGATTCAGCCTTGTGTTGACATGACTGCATTGCATCATTACACAAAGACTTTTTGGCTGCATATTCATTGCCTGGCTTCATATTCATCAGGATACAGAGGAGGTTTTCTGAACCAGTTTGGGGTCATGATTACCTTTATGACTTTGCACTTTCAAGGTGTGCTTTTTACATCAAGATGGTTAAATACCTTTACTGAATGAAAAAAAAAAAAGTTGCATCACCAGCAGAAGGTGTTTACTCCCAGCAGGGTACCGTAGATTCCGGCCTTTTTGGGGAGGAGGATCCAAACTAGACTCTCCCTCCAAAGTAAATAAAGGTTTCCATGTAAACATGAAAACTTTTATTACAGTTATTTTACAGTCTGTGTTGGAAAATCAAGCCATTACAAACAACAGAAAATGAAGTCCATATAAAAGCTTTTTAATAGCAATGCAGGTGTCAGAGCTTTTAGTGAGACTAAACAATGGATGTCAAAGTTTAAAGAAGCACAGTTTATAACCCGCATCTGATTTCTTTTTATCTTTCATTGTTATCATAAAAATCCTGGGTATAACTGACTGCATTTGCAGGAAAGACAACACAGAATTTAGATCGAACACAAAACGTCATAAAACACCCACCAGATTTATAGTTAAGGAGCAGATTGTTTATCAATCATTAATGAGGCCACAATGAATTCATGCCTCCAGGAAGGAAGCTCTCAATGCATTTGAAAACAGAAAGCTAAATGTAGGAGCTGAGAGATGTATCAGATATATCAGCTCTCCTTATTATACTCGAATTTCACTCTCGTCATTCCTGTCATAAATCATCATGCAAAAGGGTCTTTTTCTAGTCTTAAAAGTCAAGCCAAAAAGTAAGGAATCTTTCAAGCTGAGCTGATCTCTATTGTTTGTGACCCATAAAGGTGAAACAAAGCACAATGGTGAAGTTAGTACCTGATTTGTAATAAATAAAGCGCTAATCTGTTGCATTTAAGCTTTGATCGACTCTAGTTAATATTTAGATTACTACAATAAGCTTTCAAAAAAAAAAAAAAATCTGCATTCATTGCATTTTAAAACTGAATATATGTTAAACAAATCACAAAATGTGTTTTTTATCTTTCATTATTGTGAAAAAACAGTAAAAGTTAATTGTGACTATGGTGTAGTTTTCAGGCTGGACCCTGCTATCAAGGCATAAAAAACCTTTTTGTTTTTGGTGTTTGAGTATCCAGAAAGTGAATAAAGTTTCAAATATCATATACTGAAGTCTATATAAATGCTCATCACTGCAGGTGGGTCAGTTTTTTTACTTTTACTTGACTTTAATCTACAATATATCAGTATTATGAAACTGTGACATTTTGCCTGTTAAAGTGGTTTGGTTTACAAACTTAAAAGTAAAATGTTCTTGGATGAAAATAAAAGCTATATAATAATATTTTGAGTTAAATTATATATATATATATTTCCCAAACAACAATCTGTTCTAAATGATATAATTACTTGAACTGTTAATGAATGACTCATCTATTCTAGATAGGGTTATACCTACTTAAGGAAAAACAACAACAACAACAACAATGCATATAGATAAAACTTTTTAGATTACATAATTATTTGTTTGCAGCTTGGATATTACGTATTTTGTTAAACGTAGTGTGTTAAATGCAGCACAGCAGACGTCAAACTGAAGCTACAACTCAAACACTGACTTCAGCGTCATAAATAAAGCTGTTTCCTGAACCGAGGGCGTTTTGAGGCGTGAATGTGTAACACATTTCAGCCTACAGACAATTTAATAAATTAGTGCAAACACAATAATAGGTCTTTAGCTTACACACATTTCCAGCTGACATGTCATTTTCCTCACCTGATGAGTCCAAAGATGAGAGAAATAAAAGCGCCACAAAAGCGCACGTTCCATAAAGTCGCATGTTTACAATATGATGATCCTTGTGGAAACAATAACAAGATTTGTTTTCAGAAGAAAAGAAAAGGTTTAAATCCAGACTATGTCTTCAGACAAGCAACAGCATTTTCCGTCATTTTCCAACCACAGCAAAGCGCTGACAGCAACTTCCTGCTCCGGGATTGCTGCGCGCAGCGGAGGGCGTGGTCCACAGGTGGTTTACCTGTTCAAACTTGAGGAGAAGATCCTGCCCGGTCGCTGTGTGAAACAGAAAACACTTTTGGCGCTCGGGATAGGAGTGAAATTCATGTGCAGTGTGGCACAATGGGCGCCCTATTTATAAGCATCCAAATATGCCACAGATGGCTGGCATGGGGCTGTGGATCCCCAACATTAGGATGGGATGGGTGTGGAAACAGCCTGTGAAGGAATAAATGGCAGGCTATTTATTTAAAAAATACATTTCTTTAATAACTTTTATAATAATGTTTTTAAATCTATCTCCATCAGGATATAATTTCAAAATATTACAAATAAATATATAGTATTTACAGAAATAGCATGTGGTCAGTCAAGCAGATGAGCAGGAAAAAAGTTCTCAAGCAAAACCTTATGCACAATCAGGTGAATTTTTTCCCACAGTACAGCAATAGTAAATGTGTGGGTTTTCCTTCTCCTTTTTTTTTTTTTTTTTTTGGTTTGAAGGCCTAACCTTGCAAGAAACACTCCCAGAACTGTGGAGGCTTGCTCTTGCCACCACATGCCTCCCAATGCAGACATTCCTGCTCACAAACATACCTGAGGGCTGGATTAATTTACAAACTCTGGTGTCTCCAAACACTCACTTTTTTCCCCATAACTTTTAATTTAAATGCAAATACAACACCAAACCAAAATCTCTAATTATCCAATCTTAAAGAAAGAAAACTACTAAGATACAAGCAAACAAAGAGTGAATGTTTTGGCCCATTTATTTTGTCTTCACAAATGGTTCTAGTTGGAGTGAACCAGTTCATTTCTGCGGTATAACATACAAAGAGGTCATTTTCCCAAACCAGTCTGACAGCATGCATGTGGGCGTTGTGCTGCTGTTTCTTTTCTTAACAAGAGGCCCTCAGAGAAGATTCAACAGCTGTCAAAGTTCCCCTCCTGTCCCATGAAACTATAGAGCCCAGAGAGCCACACTTGTGCTGCTCCGAGGGGTTTCAGGGCCACATTTTGTTTCCTGGATCACCCTTAGAGGGAGAATGATTAACTCTGACAGATACTGTTAAGCACAAGGAAGTGTAGCAAAGTGCTAAAATAAACAGAGAAATGTGTGTGTAAAATACAAACTAACACATAGAAACAATATTTCTGAAATTAAAATATGTTGAACTAATAGGTTAAAGTCATAACACTTCAACTACTGTAGCTTTTATAATCAATGGAGAAGGCTAAATCAGTTGAGATGGAAAACCTGAACAGTCCACATGGAGGCAGTAAGTCATTACTAGAGAGCAGCTAGACTAGAGTCCCTGTTCAATATTTCCCCTGTAAAGCCCAGCTCCAGATGAACACACAAGATCGGTTAAATACAGCAACCTTGATCTACCTTATATCAGTTTATTGTTTAAAGCACTTGATACTTCTTATAAACTAAAGGTGAGACCAGGTAAAGTTCAGCTCCATTTGTACAAAATCAATGTTGATCCAAATGTAATTTAAATAGTTCAATTAATTTTTTTTAAAATGCAATAATTTTTACAACTCAGTATAATCTATTAAAATATTTGAGTCAATAATATAATATTAAATGACATTACAAGAAGGTCAAACACAGCTGATTATTTAACAGATAGTATATATATAGTTTATTTCTATGTTCATTTTCTATATGCAGTGGTGCTAACACTAAAAGTGGTAATAGATAAATAAATATGTAATAAATTATAATTTGGTCAAATAAAATATTGTTTTTGTTTTGTTATTGTTTTTTTTATTTTAGTTTCAAAAATATTTGTTAATAAACAGACTCATAAACATTGAACCAACTTACCTGTCAATGGGTGCAGAAGTATGACTGAACATATTCAGAACATTACAGAAAACACCTGATTTCAGTTATTAACTCAAAGTGTTGCTCAACAAAATTCAGTAGTTCAGGAGCTCCATCAGGCTTGTTTACTTGTTTTATTTTGTTTCCAAGAAGGAAATGGATGAGATGCAAAAACAGGGCTCTGTTAGAATGCTTCTACTCCAGTAACCCTAGTCAGAGGGGCTACATGCGAAGGTGTGGAGAAGTGGTCACTTCGATACTCACAGTCCACACTAGTAGCTCAATGTTCTAAGAGCCATAAACGGCAACTGCTCTCACAACTTGAGATTGACGAGGTACAAAACCACTGTTCTGGTAAGGGGGAACCAGGACCCCAGGTCGGAGAGGAAATTAACAC